ATAAAAAAGAATAAGAAGAAGCGTGCAATGATCTGCCGCAGAAATCTTCTATTTCTCTTTTCTCTCAGCCAATTTCAATGTCGAAGTCATAACAATCTGGGGAAATTCATGGTTTTCAAAAATTACGCTGTCTCATTTTACTGTTCACGTATCGTCACAATAAATATATTCGAGTGTGTGTGTGTGTGTGTGTGTGTGTGTGTGTGTGGGTGTGCGCGCCAAAGCCTCTCAATGATACTCACTGTTTGTGGTAAATTTTGCCATTTACACGACTTACACATGTTTTAAGGCTGTGCTGTTTCATGCGGCGCTCAGCTCATTTCATTGTTACATTTTAAGCCATCAATGGCCATCTTTTTTGTTTCGTTGCTACTGCTACTGTTGCTGATTTAAAAAGCATTTCGTGTGAATTGCCGAATCATTTTCATGTTGTATCATTTTATTTTGAAATTTTCCCCCATCCCATTCACTCTAATGACTCAACGAACATGTCATTTGCTCTGAATACGAATTGTCATTAGATACGTGTGAATATTTATTTCGACAGAAATCTCAAACTCACATTTCACTCATTCTGCCTCTCTCGTACGACACACATACACACACACTCTCTTACGAGACAAATAAATTGTCCTCTAGTGCCTTGACAACAGAGCACATGCACAGCCCCGATTTCCGTTGTGTTTCAGTTCACTTGACTTGCTTCGGCAATTTTATTAATTTCAATTTGTCTAAATGAGCGCCAGAGATTTTGCACACATTCAAGCCACATTCACCATTGTTTTTGAGGGAGTATATTCGACAACGAAAACACTTATGTTCAAATTATACGCGTACAATCACCACATTTTACCTCGATAAATGTGTGTGTGTGTGTGTGTGATCAATTCAGGAAATTTATGTGCACTCTATCGATTTCATTAGGTTTTATTGATTTTTTTTAGTACAGTATGGGGTAATTTGGTGCCGTAATTACATCCATTCCGTTCCAAACGGAGGTATACTATATCTCTTTGGCGTTCATAATTAAATTATATTGTTGGTTCCGCATGGTGCCAGCTGCCAGTAGATCAAGAATAGAGCAAGATAGAGCACGGAAGGGAGAGAGAGAGAGAGAAAGTGGCGGTTTTGGTCCTACCCGATAAACTCGGATATGCGGTCGAATGTAGATGTCGAAAGTGGATTTGTTTGGGGTTTGTGTGTGCGAGTATGGACTATGGAGTCGTCTTGTTGTGATGATTGTTATGCGACAAGAAGTGAATATGTTGAGATTAGTTGTGCGAGAGTGCATGGAGGCGAAAAAAGCTTGGCAAAAACTGTCACAATTGATAAAGATAAGAGCTTGCCATCATTCCGTAACATATATATATATATACGAACATAAGACGAAATAATGTCCCCGGCCAAAAACATGAAAAGATGAAGCACATCTCTGACGGAAAAATGATCTGTATGGTCAGAAATAAAGTGATTATAGGCATCAGTATCACATCAATTTTTTTTTCGTTCTTTCGTTCTTCTTCTCCTACGTTTTTATCGTTTGATACAAATGGCAAGGGGAGAGAGAGTGCGAGTGAGCTCCCAAAGCCCGTATTGAATTGAAGCCATATTGTAGATTGATATCCGGGTATATTAAAAGGACAGCGAAATATAAACTTCTTTAGAGCACCATAAAAAGTATCACACGGCATAATTGAGCGGCTTCTTCATTTTTTTCGTGCTTTCGCTTCCCTTCTGTCTTCTCAAACGGCCTAACATTCTTCCAACCGCCGCTTGTGAATGTGTATGAAAATTTGCGAAGATCTGTGAAGCGTATTTATAGATTTATTCCTCATATACAACATTATAGATGCGATTAAATTGACACTTTAATGCGAATGTGTCCGTATGACTATAGCTTCTGTTAACGGTCCCACTGTTTTCACCGTTCTAGCTACTGATGTCGTCATTCGATTTTTATGCCAGCGTGTATATATATGTGTGTGTGTGTGTGGAGAAAAGCAGACAAAAAATATGCGAACCAAGAGAGACAGAGAGCGAACGAAAAAAAATACTCAGCAGCGAAAAGCTTCTGTTAGATGGATGGATGCGGATGGTATGCTTGAAATTTAACTTAACTAACCCAACATGAAACTGAATACTCTGTGTGTGGAGTATGCCTAGCACTACAACAGCTTTCTAACCGCATATTCTGTTTGTGTTGTGTCATGTCGCACATGACACACGCTTAACATCCCCGTGAACGGTTTTCGGTTGTTTCTCTATCTCGCGAGCACTAATTTATGTGCGCGCGATGTGTTCCGATGCGAGGCCAAGAAAATAATGAAATTCAACGTTTAAATGCAAAATGTGAGCTGGGGCAAAAGTTAACCGTGACTTCTGTGGAATAGTTTTTTGGTTGGTAGCACGACGGTATTGATGTAGCACGCGTCGGCATACTAAGCGAAGCAGCACCAAAGTTTTAGTTGTATTACACTTCAATTACGCACGTCTGCCCATTGTAATGGACAAATTAGATAGAAAAAAACTGTATGAAGAAGGTGAAACGGTCAAAGGACGATATGAGGGCAAACGCACACATATAGTATACATAATTACAAATACCTTCAGTTGATGGCACATGTGGCGGGAGAGAGAGAGAAAAAAGTCACGTTAAGATAAATAGAAATAGATCTTGCGACCAACAACCGAACACTCTTCGACTCAATGACATAGAGAGAACGCGCACATCGACTACAACACACACGCATTTCCCATGAAATTCGACACGAAGCTCATTCCATTGACTTATGTTCACTTGTAAAATTGGTGTCTTGGATAGGTGTCGGTTGGAAAGGAGGATGAGGGAGCATTCAAGTGACAAAAGCCTATCAAATTGTTTCGGCATTTCAAGCACACCTTGGACAAATCATATATAGCAATCGGCTCATTCACCAGAAAAACAAAGATTCTTTCGGTGTACAAAATTAAACACGTTGTTGTTTCGGTGATTTTACGCCGTGTGCGTATCAGAGAAAGATAAGAAATGGAATGAGGGAGACAGAGGGGTACATAAATATGGCCTAGCAATCAGACAAAGCAACTGCCAATGACCGTGTACGTGTAATACTGGTTTGCTGAGAAGCATAACATGCATGAACTCTGAAATATAATCACAACACAAAAACAATGGCAACCACAAATTGAGATTTTTCTGTGATGTTGTACGAAAAATAAAGAGAGCGAGAGAGAGAGAGAGAGAGGGAGGGAGGGAGAGACAGAAAGAGGGCAACAGAGTCACACAGTTCAAATGCGCGTCAAAATCAAGTACCAAATGAAATCACAAAAAAATCAACATTTTTGGCAACCATGTGCCGCACACTCATCCATTATACTTAATTGATGGTGGCATTAGGTGCAATGCAGCTTTTCGTGGCCATAATCACAATTCAACATTTTTTCTTCTCCTCATCGGTTGTTACCGCACGAGTGTGTATATGTGATAAGCATGAGTTAAGAGAGAATGGAACGGATGTCATTTATACACTCAAACATAGGACGTGCTTTTCACGCTGTCGCTCACCCAATTCCATTTGACGCTGACAAAATATGAATTCCATACAAAATATCAAAAGAAATGTTTCTGTTTGTGGTTTTTCATTGGCTCTGACCACGTTGGTTGTATGCTGTCGACAACGACGACGGCGACGACGACGATGCTATCCAATGAACCAAACATTTTGAAATGAAGCGAAAGCAAGTCCGTTCACGTACTAGCACAACAGTATAATTATATTCATCAAGCACTTTGTTTCACAACACACCAAATTTTGAGCCCACACAATATGCACATTGCACACACACACATACGCACACACACAAGCACCTCTCGACACATCTAATGAAGTCCCATTTATGAGAAGTCAGTGTTATTCTCTTTTCGTTTCTTCTTTTTCTACGTTCGCATTACTTAACCCACGAAAATTGGCTCGACCTTCGTGCGTTCATCCGTTGAGTTTCGGTTCGTTGAATTTATGCTCCTTTTTTCGACGGAGAAGCATAAAAGATTCCGTAATCCTTTTGTTTTCGCCCAAAAAGATACTAAAAATACACGCCACGAAAAGAAAAACGGAATCCTTTTTGTCACGTTCAACGAAAAAAAAAATGAAAAGTAAGAAGAAAGCCATTAAAATGTCGCACTAGATCGAGGAGAATTGAGGCCCGGTTTTTCTCATTCGCCATCCCGATTTATGTGGGTGATTACAAAGTTCTAATCAGAGTTCGGATTGCAAGATGATTAAAACGAGGATATTGCACAAATAAACTACGGAAAAATGGGGAGAGTGTACTGGTGGCTCTTTGTTCCGAACGGGAGAGAGCGATGTGGCATTTATGAATGTTGTAATTGTGTAACGATAAGATTATCCACTTTCGTAGAATGAACAGTAATTCACCAACCGATAAACTAATTTCCTGCACTCGCTCCCCTTTGCTACAACGTTTGGTAGGCATCACGGCTTGCTCATTGATATACCAGTGCGTATGAGTGGAGCGCAATGTACGCGCTATGGCTGCTGCTGCCTGAGAAGCGATGGCATACAGAATGTTATTCAATTATTTCATTTAAAATATGCAAACGATGAAGAGAGCGCAGTTTAAGGTGTACGTCAGAGTAGCGGCTTGTAATTCCGTCGCATGCCTTAAATTTTGGTTCATTCCATTGGCATCTTCGTTGGCTTTCATTCGCCAGCAACGGGATTTAGGTTAATCTCTGTACGTATGAAAGTTGGACGAAGAAGAAAAAATGTCAAAATCTTGACATTCGAGTGGTTGTAAGTGAAATTCACTTGCACTGCTTGAAAGTTCCCTATAATATTTGCTGAAAAAGGCCATCCAATTTATGTTTTTATGAACCATTTTTATTTGCCATCTTGTTCTTGCAATGAATATTTAATTGATTGAATCGTTAAACTAGTGTACGAGTCACTAATTTTCTTTTTGTATTTCATTTTGTTTCGCAGGACGCAGTGAGAATCGGTCGGGATTGTTCATGGAGACAAGAGCTTTTTAGATTTTTTTGCCGAAACACAACATGTTCCAACCCCAAAAATACAACACCAATGGCTGAAAGGACAGTGGACGCACCATGATCAGCAACAGTAACCAGAAACCGAATCAATTTCCATCGAAAAACCATCGTCAGGGCAACCAATACACACATATTCACACACACACACCGAGCTTGCAGCAAAACACATCAACCAATCAAACTGTTCTAGTTTTCATTGTTAGCCATGGCACATTTGAGACAACAATAACAAAAAAAATATATGGAAAATTAATTTACTCTAATTTGTTTTGCAATTCGATATTCATTCAATCACGCACGCATTGAGGTTGTAAACCATTGAACAAAGAGAATAATAAAAAAAAACAAAAGAACACACACACGCACCATTCGATCCATTTCTCGTTCTAGTGAATTATCCGTTCGTTTTTTTTTCGTTCCGAGTATTCATGCAAATGACAAGAAACATGCATATATTGAAATTCAAACAAAACTCACAAACCAAAAATATAAAACACACTCACATCATAATGAAAGAGACAAAAACCAACCAACCAATTGACAAAAAAAAACTTAATTTCTTTCTTTTCATTCATTTGTTGATTTTTACCTTTATTATTATTCTTAGACCAATTATTCAATGTAGATAAATTACTAAATATGTCAATATTAATTTTATTTTATTTAAATTTTTTGAATTGAACGTGAAGTGAAAAACAAAAAAAATGATGCAATATATCTAATTATGAATAAAGAAAAAAAATTACTATTAACCAGTACTAAAACATGAAAAAAATAAACAAAAAAAAATAAAATAAAAATCATTATCAGTGTCAGATTTTGTATGAAAATGAAATATATATTTAAAGAGAAAAAAAATGGACAAAAAAATTTATCAAATCTAATTTATTTCAAAGATGACAAAAACAAAAATGAGAGAGAGCGAGAGAGAGTGAGAAATGGAGAAACAAGCAAAAGAATCAATCACGAACCACTTTCTTATCACTCTACATGATACCCTCCCCCACACTTGATCATGTACGCGATACTTAACATTAAGATTTATGAAGAGAATAAAGAAAACTATGAGACAAAAAAAACAACCAAACTACTGTGCTCCTATTACTAAAAACCATAAACATAGCAAAATCACCAAAATCAAATCTTAACAAAAAAAAACAACATATATTTTAGATTTCTAAATTTTTGTCTGAAAAAAAAAAATGAATTTGAGCGTGGGATAGAAAGTGTTGAGAAATAATCAAAGATTTCAAAAAAGTAAATTGAGGAGAAAAAAAATTCAAAAGAAAATGCATCCAAAATTTGTGAACTCATTACATTTAGATTTAAACAAACAAACAAAAACTACTAATAACGTCGCGGTGCATTTCAGCCCCACAACAAAGATGAAGTGAGAGAATATAAAAAAATAACACAAACACAAACACATTTATGAAACAATTGAAGAGTCATAATTAGCAAAGTGAATTAAATGAAAATCATTGTAATGCATAATTAAGCGTAAATTTAATAAAGATTCATTATAAAAATGATAATAACTATTTATTTACAAAATACAAGTAATTGAGAGAAGAAAAACAATCCTTACGAGCGACAACAGCAGAAGAAAAAAACCAATTTAACAAAAATCCACAACAACAGCAACAAAACTGAATATTTAACTAAAAATAAAAATAACAAAAATAAAATTTGACAAATTACACAACCCAATAAACAAACAAACAAAAAAATCAAATCTATTGACTTTTTTTGTGTTATACGCGATGTATGTTTTTACTAGGTCGAAGCTAAAACAACAACTACCAAAATTATTATGAGACACATTTATGACAGTAAAACACATACAATACATTTGAAGATAATGAACACAGAGACAGTATCATCCTCATTGAGAATATATCTGTTTAGAAGAATGAAACATAACGTGCAAAATGCAATTTATCTGAATAAAGAGAGAGAGAGAGAGAGAAAAAACCAAGATGAGATAAAAAAAATGAGTAGCAAAAGATGAATTATATTTTGTTTGTTTCTTGCGTTGACAATTTGTTTCTTGTTTTCTAATTCGTATTATAATTTTATTTGATGTCATCGTTAATTATTGCCTTTTTTTCGTTTTTTAATTGGTTAAAAATGTATTATTATTTTTCTGTTCCGTTTCTGTTTTATAGACGTAAAAAAATGTACTGCTACTGAGAGAGAAATAATAAAATAAACATAAATACAAATGATGAAGTAGATTCATTTGAAAGAGAGCAGAACTTATTTATGTATGCAACAAATACAGCAACAACAAAAGAAAATCAATCTATATTTAATTATCGAATATTATGTTCATGATGTACATACCAGAATTGAATAAACGTGAGAAAAATCAAAATTTCACCTCCTTCCCACTTAATACACACTGAAGTAGATGAACACAATGTCCTCTCCCCTCGAAGAAAACAACAGAGCAGAAAAAGATCCTCTTAATTGCCTCTATTCAAAAATGATATATTTTTTTCAATTTCCACAGCAAAAACATATTCATGCAACAAACACATTTCGTGCTATCGATCACATCAATTTCTCGCCTCAATTCGGTTGAGCACCAGCAATAAAAAAACACGAGAAAATCAGCCAAAACTTGAAAAAACTTACAAATAAATATTCATCATCTGTTCTTAGCAACACACATGAAAAAAAGACTACATCCCTTGTTATTTAGCTCGTTAGTACGCATATACACGTTTTTAGTGTTTGCTTTTTACGTTCGAGAATTGAAATTATTCATTGAAAACTTTATTCATACTTATTCGTTGAGACAGACAAGTTCAGCGCAAATATTTTCTCCGATTGTGTATTGTGTCATTTTTTTTTCAAAGCTAGTTTATGAATATTTATACTATAATTTAAACGTTTACCACAAACACACACACATACAGACACAAAATGAGAAGAAAGAAAGAGAAAAAACAATTATAAATTGAAAGCAACCTACAGCAACAAATTGTGTAAAGTAAACCAGCAACAGCAAAATTGGAGGAGATATATCGATTTAATGAAAAACACATAATTTAATTGGGACAAAAAAAACAACAACCAAGAAAAAAAATTGTTAAAGTGAAAAGAAAAAATAATTTGACAAATTGAATCTAGTAGCTTATGAATCATAAATATTATTAGTAAATCCTGGAAGTATGAACAATGATGGTGGAAAATGAATAAAGAATAATAACAAATAAACAAAAAAAAACCAGCTACAATCACAATGTAAATCTGTAAAAAATGAAAAACCAAATAAATCACCTTAGAGTTGAAAAATTAAACTTAAGCTGGTTGAGTTTTAATTTCAGAGCGCGAATGGTTATTTTTATGCAGCTTATGAACTGTTGGAAGGTCAAAAATCAGAGTTCCTTGTGTCACACGGCATCTGATGCCAGCGCATTTAATCACTTTTATCACAGAAACTATTTTCAGCAAAAATGATGGAGTGAGAAGAGGAGGGAAAGATGGGAACAGCATCAAGTTTTATATCACTCTCTTTGCCAACTACTTATTTACACCCACTGTATTGAGCTTGAAGCGAAAAACAACACCTTTAATTAAGCTACTATTGACTTTATTCGAACGATACAAAAGAAAACGCATAACCTCTATGAACGCTCTGTGTGGGATCGTCAAAGACTACCAATAATCCAGATCAAAGTGAGACTGTAATTGATATGTGTTACATTATTATTAGCCATTCATTATTGTTCCAAGAATAGCACTCTTATATTCGGCTTATCTACGACGTCATTGTTCAGTGTTCACTGTCATTGTGAATTGTGGCACATGCACAACGATGCTACGTTGGACCAATAAATTTTTAATTATCTTCATTATTATATTATTACGACAACTATTTACTATTATCACTAGTGGTGGATGTACTTTTACTGCAAGATAATCCATATTGATGACTACCACCGCCGATGTGAGTTCAAGTAAACTCTGAGGATGTTCATCACAAGAGGTCCTCTTTATGCAGTCAGTTCATGTAAATGCATACGATTGAAGTAAGTATGTGATGGGAGGAGAACTAATTTAGCACGTATAATTTCATTAGAACACAAAACTTTCTAGTCTTTCAACTCAAAACTAATTTACAATGAAGAATTTAGCACACACACACAATGTAATACATACTTGCTATGACTTGCGTCATGTTGATCCCCAGAAAAAAAAACGGTTTCATTGAGATTTCCATATTTTTTTCCATTGAAACAAAATAAACACAAAATTATTGATTCAATTCTCTTTGGCATTTTAATATTGCTTGTTTCGTGCTTGATTTCATTTGGTAGATTTAAATGTTACACGGTTGGAGAAATAAAACCACAGCTCTGTTAATTGATTAGATCCATTTGTGGTTTTATTTTTCAATTTCCAATGAATATCATACAACATGGTGCAGTGTTTTTTTCTCCACCTTCATTTATTTTGCAATTGAATTGACCGTGAAATTGAATTTACAACCATCATATAATTTTTCGCCGAAAAAACTGACCATGTGAAAATAGAATATGGTAGCAATGATTATATTCGCTAATTGCAACAGAAAAGGGTCCAATAGAAGTAAATTATTATTTGATAATTGCTAATGAATGAATATCATTAAATAGGGGTATGCGTAATTTTTTCGAAAATTGAATTCATGCAAAAACTCTTTGTTCATTAAAAATGGAGCAGCTCTGAGAATTTACAAAAAAATAAATAAATCCTGAAACTCTAAAATAGCATTATTATTTACATTTCCATCAAAAGTTCCACCAAACACGCAGAGTTTCACAATTTTAGGCAAAAGCACTACCAACCTTACGAACAAAGTTAAACTACTAGAAATAACAAAAGTTTTCACTTCAAACCAACATGTATGTAGGGTGTGAAGAGTGTGTTTCCCATTTTCGCCGAAATCACAATTTTCAAAATTGAATTTGGTCATGAGCTATGACGTCACATTAATGTTAATTGCGTTACATGACTCGTACGAGTCAACAAATACAAAAAAAAAAACGTATTACACTTTAATTTCATGGATGTGGTTCCACCCAAAAGTTGTAATCTAGTTCTATCCAATACATGGGTGTCAAAAAAGAAACGTGTTTATCTAAATCATTCAAAATTGCCTTGAATACGTATACGTGAAGAGATAGCAATCGATTCCCGTTTTCTTGCTCTGCCTGTTTTTTCCTCTTCTTTTGCACGATGACAGAAAACTAAGTCATTTGAACTAATGGAATGGTAGAGAAATGGTCAGAGCAATGCAAAGAAATTCCGATAATTTACTGTATTGCACCTCACACACATAGAACACTGCCGGCAAGCCGAAAAAAAACGGAAAAATTGTGACATACAGAAAGAAACACGGGAAATAGAATGGGAGACCAAAAATAAATTCGATTTTCCAACGAATTTCCGCATCATTCTTTTGCCCAGCAAAAGATGGAGGTGAACACCATCATGAAACAATATACAATTTGTATTGCCTATGCAAAGGCATTCAGTTAACTTGTATTCGATCAACTGTTTCTAATAGGAACATTTTCACACACATAACAACTAGCGGTAAGAGCAGCATCACCACCAGCAGTCTCTGTACGATTTGTGTAACATTACACTTCGACAATGGCCAGTCGACTATAAACAGATTCGCAAGAAATACTTCCTCGTTCATCGTTTTCGTTTACTGTGTTACGCAGATTGAGCATCGGTGGCTCTTCCCAATCATTAACTAAATTGCAAGCTATTTTTAATTTTTGCACGTGCCTTTTCCCACTTGTCCACCCTCATCGACCGTATCTAGCTCACTTTTTGAATGGAGCGTGGAGCATACGGCTCGCAATGTTCCCTTTTCAAATTAATTTGATGAAGGGGATTAAAAATACGATCTAAGATATGCGTATACGTTGATAAATTTTTCTTTGAAATACGGGGAAAAAATTTAACGCACCCAACGCATCAAAACAATGGGAAATAAGATGGGCATTTAACTCCACAAATAGACAAATGAATCGCACTTCCGAGGCAAAACAGGATGATTTTCAATAGATTTGCCATACATGTAATCGATAACCATTTGCGCTATTTCAAGCAACACCCTAAAATAGATGCCATATAAATGGGACGATACGGTAATGCTTTCTGCATACAAAAATTTAATGCACCAAATTGGAGCCTCTGGTTATAATTACCCATTAATAGGCGCATTTTTAATCATCATTTTGCAATAATATTCAATAAAAAAATTTCATTACAACAAATATTCATGATCACCATTAGGTTGGATGCATATTCGTTAGTGAACGAGTGGAAAAAATTTGAAAATAAATGGATCTAGGCCCAAATATCAATGATATCATGGTTCAATCATTATATTCAGTTGAAAAAAAAAAAACTTTCTGACAAAAAATGGTCGAGAAAATCACATTAATCGAAAATGAAAACGTTTAGTACATTAAAGTTAATATTTATTCTAACAAATCATTCAAGTTATTTTGTCAATCAACAGAGTGATTTTGATATAGCGGCCATTCCACACGAAATCAGGGAAGAGTTGCAATGTGAGGTCGCC